TATATATATATTGTCTTATGACATGAAATTTGGCTTGCTTATAGGAGGAAGACCTCAAAAAGTCCTAGATTTCGTTTGTGGACTTTCCCTGCTCTGGTGGATGGACCATTTGGGGTTGTATCTGCTGCTGAGCTTATTGGGATTATCCTTTTTGTTGTGTTTATTTTCTGGGCTGTGTATGCTTACACCTTGCGGAACCTTAGCCTCATGACTCTGTTTGACATTCCTTCTACAGAAAAAGGGTAAAAGATTTTGTGTTCTTAATGATTAATAATAGTACTGCTTATTTTATCCGTTTCAATTTTATGGATTTTTTTCAGCATGCATCAATTCTGTGCTCAAAATATTGTATGTGTTCTTGTAATGATGGCTGTAACTTTATGTTAATGGTCTTCACTGCTTCATTCAAGGTCCTAGGACCAAAAAATTAATTGGCTTGACTGGCTTGAGATAAGATTCTTTGAAACCATTGATTGTGGGGCTTCATAACTGCTAATATTGTAGAGGTGTTTCAATTTTTTTTTAAAAAAAAATTGTGGAAATGTTTCATCTGCCAAGCTGCAAATTTTATAGAAACTTTGTTTTTCTTTCTGCATCAAATCAATAGTGTTTACCTTGGCCAAAATTATTTTGTTTTGCTTGGACATAACCATTCACGACATCTGACCATCTTATGCGAAACTTGATAATTCTGCGATCCCAAACCCTCTCTTTGAATCTGTAGAACTGGATTCCAGATTTATTCAAGTTGAAATGGCTGTTATGATGCTTCCTTGTTTAATTAAATATCACATTAATCTTCTTTTCTTTCATCTACTAATTCCATGGAAAAGGTGTGATTCCTATGAACACCTTTGGAATGACTGAATTTTAGGTTGAATTTGAAGCGTTTTCTATGAACAAAATCAGTGAAGAGTACTTAAAGGAACCACAAGATGCTGTGATTTCAAATTTCTATGAGCAGAGTCTTAATCTGAATTTGGGAACTGTATATTTTATTAACATTAGAAGTGTTTAAATGTTCACCACTTTAAGAAATTCGTTAGTAGCTTCTGAAAGTTGTCACTTACAAGTAATGCTAATTCGCTTCAGCAGGTTCATGTGCTTCATAGTAACTCGAAATTTCTTTTTCATAGAGGACTAATATTGTCTTTCGTCTTTTCAGTATAGTCATGTTGGAACTGACAGGACTACGGTTTGGAATGATCGGATTACTCTGCTTAGCATTTTTGTTCCTCCCAGTTGCAAGGGGTTCACTTCTTCTTCGTCTTATAGACATCCCTTTTGAGCATGCTACAAGATATCATGTATGGTTGGGACATCTGACCATGACGCTCTTTACACTCCATGGGCTGTCCTATGTAATCGCATGGGCGATAAAAGGAACCCTCCTGAAGGAAGTGAGTCCCCTATCGGTTTTCTTTCTGGTTTAACTCATATTAGTTTTCTGCATGCACTTTTTCCTATATATAATTTCAATATGTGCATAAGCCTGCCCTGTGTGTATTTCTCTTATGTAGATGCTGGAAGATGCATATCTATGCACAAGACAAGTTTTGATATTCTTCTTAATTGAATGACCAAGTTATATGATTGCATTTGAAACATGTGAATAATCTAACAGCAAAAGAATTACAGCTCAAGGAAGTAGAAATAACTTACTGAAATAGTTGCGGCATATTCCACTGAAAAAGCTGTTGGAGCTAGTCCAATTTAAATTAATAAATCAACATATATATAGTAAATAGAAGTTGGAAGAATTACAGATTGGGGAGTAATGACTGACAGCAATAAATGGCCATCATATTTTTGCCACAATTTGTTCCTGGAAGACTTTACCAGTTATCTTCAATTTTCTTATGAGTTTAATCGTTTGATTTATGACAAAAGCTATTGATTGGTGAGTGAGGTCTAAAGAAAATACTGTCAATTCTTTTCTTCTTGTGTTTTACATTCAAAGTATGTGAAGTCTTAAAATTAGATAGAGGCTAAGATGAAGATATTGAAGCTAGTTGCTCAGCTTTTCCATTTTAATTCTTTCATGCAGTTACTGGAGTGGAAAAACATTGGTATTGCTAATTTACCAGGAGTTATCAGCCTTTTAGCTGGCTTGTTTATGTGGGTTACATCACTTCACCCAGTGAGGAAGGACTACTTTGAATTGTTCTT